AGCCGAAGAGGAAATGGGGAACAGACAGAATTGAGAGATTGTTTAAACAAGATACTCCTCTGTGGGAGTGCTTGATGCCGAAGAAATGACGTGGGGAGACTGGTATGTCTCATTGTTCGTGGAGATCCTAACAGCATAGATGTCATAAATTGGGGAAGATGATGATCGGTGGGACATTCCCATGATATTGTGTATTTAGGAAGGATGTGGTGAGCTTTGCTGATAGCTAGTAGTTCTGCATACTAAAGACATTTTGGAGCTGAACTGCTTAATAAGGTAATCTCATCAATGAACAACCCAGATGTCACATTAGTGGAAGTCCCAAACTTAATTAGTAAGAATATATAATATGGATTCTGCCTAGCTGACCAGGGGACTGTGATGGCAACACAACAGGCTGAATAGAGAGAAGTAGTAAGTAGGTATGGATGACTTCAGTTATTCAGTCTAGAAAAGGCAAAAATTGCATCCAGACTTGACAGAGTACATTTTCAGATGTCTCAGTGGCTGTTTTGTGGAGCAGCTGGTTCAGGAGCCCATGAGGGCAATGCTTGACTTTAATCCTGAGTGGTTTATGGGATATTGATGTAGAGAGTAACAGCTGAAGAGCTCCCCTGAAATGGGGATCTTAATGTGCTTAGACTCAGCGTCCTCACAGGAGTAAGGCAAACTGGAATTCTCTCCTATTGCTGTGCTCAGCTCCAAGAAGGAAAACTAGACACAGATCAGGAAGCTTGTTGAAAGTAAGACAGGTGGAAGACCTGTTTGCGGGGAGTATGGATATTGCTTCTGTAAATTACATGGGAAGTGCAGAGAAAATAAGTGTGTATCAAGAAAAAACTTGAGAAAGAGTGAAAAGAAGCTAGTGTTGGCAGAGTAAGTGAGATTGCAGGAGCAAGAAGGTATCCTTTAAAAAGCTGACGTGGTGTCTAGATGAAGAAAACTGGAAAGATGATAAACTCTGGCAAGTTAAATGTACAAATGTGATAAGGCTGGCTGAAGGAGCATGAGAACAATTGGCAAAAAGCATAATAACTAAAATGTCTGTTATCTGTTCAAACACATCATGAACAGGAAGCCTGCTGGGGAATCTGTCAGGTCAGTGGATGGTCAGGTGGCACAGAAGCCATCGGGGGTGGGGGGGGTGATAAGGCTGTGCAGGAGGAGCAGATGAACTCTTTGGAGTCCAGCATGAGTACAGATGTACACCGTAGCATGGGATAGCACTGACTCCTGCACAAAAGCTTATAGAATTAGTGGGGTGGTTTTCCTTATGAAGTCAGAGGTCCTAGTGTTCCACTACTTCTGTTCTTTTCATACTTTCTGCTGTTTGCAACTTAGAGTTGTCAGGCTAATCACGGGCTAGGGAGTGCTTGGGGGAGAAACTTCGTGTTTACCTTATTCTTATACTCTTTCTCTAAGCATGGAGTTAGGTCTACTATTGGAGGTAGACAGTGGAATAGATGGACCTTTGCTCTGACCTGAAATGGCTCCACTAATAGAGACTTTCTAGTCTCTCAAGGAATTGACCTGGAGTGAGAGCAGGACAGCTTATGCATATGGTAGGTTGGTAGTGTTGGTTGAATCCAAATTCAAAGCAAGACTCGTGTCTGTGTGGAGTGCTCTGCTAATGATGTATCCTCTCCTTTTCTCTGTCTGGAAACTTCACCCAAGTGGATGCTGAGAACTGTCTGTGTCTGGGAACCTTTGAGAGGTAGATGCTTCCAGACGAGTGGCTGTACTCTGGCAAATTCTGGACACAATGGTATGAACACGTCATGGTGTTTGGGATTTTCATCCAAGGCACCTTGGCAAGACCTACTGCATGTTTCTTCTATATAATAGCCAATTGCAACATCTGATGCATTTGAGAAGTGTTAAACATTACTGTGCCCCCAGCACCGGTGATCTTCTGCAGGAATAGGAAATCTGGCACCTCAAAAAGCTGTGCTATGGAATCCTTGCACATGCATTTGTCTAATTTCTGCTTTTAGGCTGAGTCGATATGCTGGTCTCACTAAACAAACCCTATAACTGTCAGAAATTTGAAATTTCACCAGTTCCCAAGAAGAAACTAGGGTTGGAGATGGATCACAAGCTGAATGCAAGTCAGCAGTACCATGCTGTTGTGAAACTGGTGGTCACACCAGCGCGTAGACACAGAACTGAAACCTGCAAAGTGACTGCTCTCCTCTGCTTGGGAAGGCCTTAGCCAAAGTGCTGCCCTATTCTTGGTCAAAGAGGGATAATCCAGTGGAGAAGTGCAGGACTGTTTCTATAGTAGAAAACTAATAAATTGCGTAGACAAATGGTTCATTTTTTAAACACCAAAATCCTTGTTTCATTGCTGTACTTATAGAATCAAGAGACCCCTGTTCAGGTACCTGGAGGGCTCCTTTTTGGACAGGAGTGCAGGGGTTGGAAATCCTGTGAATTGTTAGGTATGGAAGTTCTCAGGGTTTTGGTGACCATGTGCAGTGGATTTTTTTGAGGGAGAGCTCTGAACAAAGAAGGTTGTCTCAGAATTTACTTCTATTGCTTACTTACAAACTGGAATGTTTTGGCAGTGAAATTTGGGGGTAGTGGCTATTTGCCGTCCTGAGTTCGAGAGACTTTGAAGACTTGATTTACAGTATTAATAAAGACATAAATACACGGTATTAAGCAAGTAGCTGAAAAAGACTGGGGATGAGAATGGCTCATAACTTCAATGTGAGTCAACAATGTTGTTCTGCTATGGAGGAGGCACACTGGGATGTATAAACAGACCTGTATACACATGGGATGTATAAACAGACCTGTAACATGCTGGATTTGAGTTGTTATTTCTTCCTTCCTTGATGCTGGGAGAGACCTCAGCTAAACTACCCTAATTCAGATGATGCACTTCCAAGAGAGAACTGTTGGGATAGAGTGTCCAGAGAAGAACAAGACTGGTGAGGGAAGAAAAAGGGGGTGCTGCGATTCAGTCTAGAGAAGAGAAAACTGAGGAGAGATGGAAATGGCCAAGTGTTCAGGGAGGCCAGGAATAGCTTGTTCCCCAGTCCCAAAGCGTAGGGAAGGAAGTAAAAACCCCCTTAAAACAGCAAGAAAGATTGCAGTTAGATGTCTGGAGACATGTTGTGCTAGGAAGGACAGTGAGGCAGTGAAATAGATTGCACGGAGAAATGTTGAATCTCCGTTGTTGCAGGCTTTTAAGCACAGATTAGGGAAACATCTGTCAGGAATGACAGCAGTTTAGTCGATCACCCTGTGGGGCAGAGGGTGACTAGAAGATCTCTGGAGGTTTCTCCAACTCTTACCTCCTAGGGCTCTAAGGTTTATTTCTTTATTATCCGATCATTGTGTTGAGTCTCTGAGGAGGTTTCCTGCTTAAATTAAATCTGCTTAATTTTACTTCCAATAGGGTTCTTAAAGAGGAGGAAATTGTTCTGTTTTCTGAATGCTTGACTGCAAACTGTGAATAATTATGACAGCCTTATAGACAGTTCACAACAAGTGGCAATTAACATACATGTTGAAATGAATGGGAATGATTCGGTTTTACATGTGAAACAAAAAAAAATATAAATCTATCTGATGCTGGCATAAGTGAAAGCCTGACTCTTGCCGATCAAATGCAAGAGGGGAAAGCCAAATCTTTCAAAATATGATATGTGATAGAAGGTACTAGCTATAGCTCAGTAAGGGTGTGAAGGAAATGGATAAAGGAGTGAAAAAACAGAGTATAAAAAGATTAGCTCTCCAGTAAAGAGCCAATATGACTGCAGAAGCATTAAAATCCCTGCAGGAGATTTACTGAGGACTCTGCCCTGGATTAGAATTTGATATAAAATAACTTAACTGAAGTCATACAATTTCTGTGCCATTTGTAGCTGAGTTAATAGCATATGTTCCTGGAGGATTACAGTCAATGATTAAGGAAATTAGGTTTTGTTTGAATTTAATTTAGTTGTATAAAGCTGCTACAATAATTTACAGCTTTGATATTTAATATTTAATAACCCAGATCTTAAAAGAAGCCGAGATATAGCAATGTCATTATATATTGAAATATTATCCCCATAAGTCATTTATATTTGCTAGTTGATAAGAATGTTCATCAACTAGATGGGCTCAACAGGAGCTACTTGATAAAAAAACCAATGCAGTTTTACAGGTGGTGGTGGGGAAATCTTTCTGTATCTGTTATCCAGTAAATCATAATTCACTTAAAAAGAACTTTGCAGTCTCAGTTTCAGTAATGACAAGAATATACCTCTTGATAGTTTTCTTTCATCTAATTTCCTAGCTTTTGGCTTCATGAACATTACAAATCCTGTCTTTTCTTTATTATAAACCTGCTTCTGTCCCTCCCCCCCTTCCTTTTTTTTTTTCTCTAAAAAAAAAAAAAAGCTTTCCTCAATCTCCAATTCAGCAAGCAATCCTGCCTCTATTCAGAGGAAAGGAGGCATGTAAAAGAACACCCCATCTGAACATCCAGCCCCTGGTACTTTCAGGCACCTTTTTATTTGCCACTAAGTTTATAAGAGCCACAAGACATGGTCCAAGTCCCACCCTGTACCCATACCACCAGCTACAAGAATCCAGTTGCAAAAAATACTTGTACAAGCTTATCACCCAAAGTGCAAAACTGCGCCGTACAAAGGAAGAGAGCTAAAAGGCTTCCAGTAACCAGTCTGTTCTCATTTTTCTCTCTTTTCTCTCTATAACATGGACATAATTTTCAGTCCATGCTTCCCTTTTTGTGCTTGTACGCATTTCTCTCCTTCTCTATACACCTTTCTTGGAGGATGGGGCCCATCAAATGGTTGGCTGTTTTGGATAGCTGCCACCTATCGTGGGCCACTGCCTTCCAAGACATAGAGCTGATTCAGGAGAGCGAGCTTGGTGCAAACTTCAGTTCCTACTTTAATGTGTTGTGAGTACGGCCTTTTAGAAAGGAAGGCGAAAGCACGAGCTACACGGCATTGCCAGTTATTAGTGGGCATGGGTCCGCAATGCGCACCAAGCCCCTGGCCACTGTGTCAGATGGTGTGAGTTGGCAGAGCTCCACTGACATCAAAGCTTCTGCAGCCCCAAAATACGGCAAAAGGGTAGATGTTTTTCCCCCTGTTTAAAGCTGGGGGAAAGCATATGAGGAGTTTATGGCTCTCTACAGTTATACATCTTTCCAGCTGGTTTTATAGTTCAGAAAAAAAGCCTTCTGGGAAGACTTTTTTTTTTTCTTAAAGAACTAGGAGGAAAAAAGAAAAACCCAACAGTTTCAAGTATTTTATTAGGATTTGTAATTCCTCCTCCAGTCTGGGCTCTATTTTTGAGAACACACAGGAGTTCTGCAGCACTGCATATTTCAAAGAAGAATAGAAGCAACCTTGTTCTGAAGGCTGAAGTGGAATAGCTAAAGTTATAAACACTGAAAAACTATAGCATTCATCCTCAGCAAGGAGGAAAACTTTCCATTGTTGGCTTTGAATGGTCTTTCTAGTCATTCTCTCTCCTGTTTTCTAGTGTAAGGATCATGTGATGACTCCACAGGAAAAATGTTGTTCAGGTTTGGGGCACAATGAAATGGTGGCTGGGCCCAGGTTCCTGGCGCGGCTACCGCTAGTGAAAAGGTCAGCTCCTTTCACAGATGGAACACTAGGCATGCAGGCAAAGTATTTCAGGCGTTTTAAGACAGTTGTCAAGATAAGTTTGTAAGCTAAAAGCTAATGGCTTGCTTTTGTTTACACTGCTGGTACCTTTGCATAGTACCTTACAACTAAGTTCTTCCTCCATGATCTGAACTCACTGGAATTTCTGTGAAAGCAATTATTATGGCACCGAGTCCAAGCTCGTGGGTCTGAAGCCAAACTAATACAACCAGTGTCTCACCACAGCTTGATTTCGTTGGGCATGGCGTCTTGGTAATTACAATCTCATGCCTCTGATAAACTCAAAGCGTAAGTAAGAGAGTTGTTCAGTTGGCAAAAAGTTGAATATATTAAGAAAATCCAACCTGTAATGTTAGTACCAGGTACATGAGAAGTCAGGTATCTCACAAAGCCAGGCTGTGTCTCATCAGGGAAATCATGGAAGGACGCTGGTTTCTCGGCACATCTGTGCCTGATAAATAGTGGGTTTGTTGAGGTTTTTTTTTTATTTTTTTTATTTTAATATTTTCCATGATATGAAGGTTGTGTGTAGGCCTTTACCATCATCACTTAGAACAGTTAAACAACAGTACTTGACCATGGTCCTAATAAGCCACTTTCCTCCCCGGCAATACTGGGCTCCGGTGATGATCTGCATATAGATGTATGTCTCTTTGTATGTGTATGTTCTGTCTGTCTCCTGATGTGTTCAGGATTTAATGAAGAAAATAACACTGAAGCAATGTACAAAACTCCTTAATATTTCTATGAGCTAATTTTTTAAGCTGGCTTTCTAGTTCGTGTGTTGGGAAGGACTGAAAGACTGGACTGTATGACAAAATACCGGTTGGCAGATTGGGAAATTATTACATGAATGTAGACAAGGGGAGGGGGAGCGTGTAAAGGAAACAACTCTCCCCTCCACAAAAAAAATCCCTCAGTCACAATCTGCTAATCATATTCATCATTGCAGCAGAAATGTGGTGACTTGGGTCTTTGTCTGAGAGCAAGGCTTCCATAAAGCTGTCAGGATGCTTAATTATGTTCTTCTGTTGTATTTGACTGCCACAGACCCGCTAAGTAAAAAAATAAAAAGTAATACTGTTTTTGAACTGGAATACTGTACTGACTTTCCTGTCCTCTTGTTATCAGGGAAAACTTCCTAAGGACAAAAATTTCCACGTCTTTCCTCGTTGCAAAATATATTCAATTTTACAAACAAGCTTCTTCCCAAAGGCTGCAGTTTCTGAACAAACCATCTGCTCAATCATTTTCTTTTCTGGCAAAAAGAGAGGCTGAGTGACAGATTATTTTTTTTCTATGATATTTACCCATAAGTTATTAATACCTATCGGACACTCATAGAGATTTTCAACTTTTTTATTGAGTAAAACAATATTGTTGAGTTGTCTGGCAATATCAAAAAAATGAGTGAGTATTGTTTCTGATCACGCCCACCGTACGGCTAACGATGCCAGCTCGTTTATAAATAATGTCATCTGTTGCCTCCTCTTGAGTGCTTTATCCCATTGACTATACTTCCCTTGTCCTTTGAGACATCTGTCTGTGCTGGTCCTGGTATACATAATGACTTGAGAGACTTGAATAAAGAGAGCTTGTATGGTGTAATAGGCACGTACAAATATCTTCTGGAGTTTAGACTCAGCAATGTCACAGTATGTTCCTAATGGTCTTTAAACTGCCTCCAAGTCAAACGTCAATTCTGACTACTGCTGATGGGAAAAGTCACACATGGAAAAGGCAGTAAAAAAACCCAATCAAACAAACAAACAACCCCCCCCCAACAAAAAAAAACAACTAATGATCCCAGCAAATGGCTACTAGTTCTCATGAATTTGCGGAGTCTGATAAAACTGTGTTTGAAATGGCAAAATCTTACTTGACAGGAGAATCTTCAGCATCTGACAAAAAATAATGAGGAAAGATTTTTTTAGACTGAGTTTTGTAATTATCTGCTGACTTTTCAGTGTCTAGTATATACGAGTAACAGTGCTACAGGATACAAATGAGAAGACAAAAGCAAGGGTCTGTTGCAATAGGTCTGGCGTGTCTTTAGGGCAGCTTTGCACTCAAATTCCTTGAGAGAAAAGTTTAGGAGTACATCAGTATTTACCTTACTAAATGACAGTCAGAGGACAAAACCGATAAAGTCCCAGCAGGCTTTCTTTTTTTCAAGAGCAAAAATTAACTATTTCATCCAAGAGTTTCCACTGGAGTATTTCAGTTATTTCTGTTCAGGTATTTCTGTCAGCAGTTTCAACGGGGGAAGTCTATTGCTCTTTGAAATATCTTGGCTGATCAATGCTCCCCATACCTCTATTGACTAGGAGCTGCCAAGTCTCTGGTCTGGAAGTTTGATCGGGATCTACTAATTTAATGTTTTAACATTAACTTTGTAGAAATCAAAGTTTATCCACATGTAGTATATTTTTAGAAATATACTAACCAATTCCTTTTGTCAGTAATTGGATTGGAAAACAGGGGCCCTTCTAGAACAGGATACGTAAGATCCTGTCAGTTCTCTACTTGAAAGACCCTTTCAGTGTCTCAAAGACAGGCAACGCAGTTTTGACATGCTTGTTGGAGGATTTGAGGAGAGAGGTAACTCGTTCAGAAGGAGCTTTTATTATTTTGACTGCACCAAGTAAAACCAAAATCTTCTAGAATTAGCCCATTAAAATGTAGAGCTCCAAGAGTCCCACCCAAAGAGAGAGATGCCATATTCAGAAGTTCTACAAAAATGGGCCACAATTACGGTTACATCAGAAACCCCCTGCTTTACTAATTATAGCTAGTTTGTGTATGTTGAGTTTTGTTTGCTTGGTTTGAGTGTGTGGGAAGAATCTGGGGGGGGAGGGGGGGAGATGAGTGGTGTGTGGTTTGGCAGGGGTAGGAACCAGAGAAAGAGAGGTGAGCAAGTACGATAGAGGCCTGATCAAGCTGGCCAGAACTCCTCTTATTACCCAGAGGTAGTACAGATCACATGGTAAGGTAAATTAGTTTGAAATGCAGCCCCAAATGCCCAGAAGCTCAGGATCCTGTTTTAAAGTACTCTATGGGCTGAAGACACTTTGCAAATTCTTTCATTCCTGTGGTGAGTGAGGAAATACTTAGTACTTTTCTTGAGAATATTGTGAAATCTTGGGCTTTTCTTAAAGTATGCCTGATGCTGGCAGGAGACAACTTTGCAGCTCTGGGATTCAGAAAAACCTTTATTCTTTAAATTCACAGAATGTGTGGGGCAGATCTGGCTCCTGATCTTTGTGGCAAGGAACGTTGCCTTCTGAGACCCTGAATTGCCATGTCTGTTGTAGAAGTCAGCTGGGTAATGCTTACTCAGCTGTGGTAGATATACAGGAGTACTGAACAAAGTGAACCACTGGTGCTACAGAACTGGAAATTGAAATCAGTATGCCAAAACTGAAGCACTGGTATGACAGTGGATGGCACATCAGCATATGATTTATAAATTGTAATTTGACATAATTTGAGGCAACATGATACCTGTAAGTGATGTCCGCATTCTGAGATACTGATACTGATGTTGCAGTATAGATGGATGGTACAGTACTTTTGAACTGCTCCAGTTTCTGCATAAACTTTCTATATATGTATATTTAACTGATTTGCTCATCTTTATGGTTTGACAGGAGGCTTTTTTCTCTTAACTGTCTCACACATGCTTGACAATAATTAGCTACAAGTCTGTGAACTCTCATGCACAAATTAAATTGATATGTTCCAAATATAATACATTGCTAGAATGGAGAAGGTTCCACCAAAGAGAGACAGGTTTTTTTATTACTCATTGTTATTATTATTTATGAACTTGTTCATTATATTGATAGGACAGTATGAGGAGGACTATACTGGTACTTCTCGTTTATGATTCTCATGTTCTGTCATTGCATGTTAATAGCTTTCTTGTGACAATTTTATTCTGCGTGGTATGTTTAATGAAACTACCCCAAACTGGTTTACTGCAGAACACCCATTTAAAGGATTAAAGTGTAGTGGGACTGTGACTTGAAATAAGATGCGAAGTTGAATAAAATTCCTGGCTGTTGCTACAGGCTCTGAGAAGTCAGAGGAGAAAGTTGTTGTACCAGATGTAGAAATTAGGTGGTGTTAGTGTGTAATGAGAGGTCAGTCCTAGCTAAATGAGGAGCACCAAAACAAGCACAACTTGAGATAAACCAAAAGAAGCATCCAGAAGGGCGCCTGGACAATGAGAGCTGGACTCTGAAATCACTCATGTGCTGACTGTTATTACAAGTTCAAGAATCTTCCGGTGTGGTGGTTGGATATGCCCTCTTGAACTTGTAATAACAGTCAGTTCATGAGGCTGCCAAGGAACCAGAAAGGCAAGATGTGGCTGA